AGGGTTTTATTTTGCCATGACCGTTACTAAAAACTCACAGGACATTTGCTAACCAGAACCCAGATGAGGAAGTAAAATTCACCGTCAAGAATGCTGGTGACAGAAATGTGGGGTCTGCTCCAACTACTTTTTGATTCTTTTTCATGACCTTCTGTGAAGTGTAGGCGGGAGAGACTGCCAGGCCCCACAGCATCCTCCTAAGTGTGGTCCTAAGCCAGTAGTACACCATCCCGCGGCCTCCCTCTAACTGCGTGCCCTGTATTCTGCTTTTCCAGTCTCAAACATGGTCTGCGCCATGTGGTCACCTCCGGGGCAGGCGGGAATCGAACTCATGCGGAAGTGGCTTTAGCTTCTCAGTGCTGTGCTTTAACCCGCTGCGCCACCAGGGAGGGCCGCCACTTTTTTTTTTTTTTAAAGAATTATTTATGTGGGCCCTCCCTGGTGGCGCAGCGGGTTAAAGCACAGCACTGCAAGCTAACTGCAGCTGCTTCTGTGTGAGTTCAATTCCCAGCCCTGGAGCTGACCCACATGGCACAGCAGAAGTTTCCTGACACCCTCTGCTCCCCTCAGCAGTGTACTTCGTTGATCTGCCTGTTCTGCTCCCCATTCTGTCTCTGGTGAAGCCTCTCACTGCCCCTGCACCTCTGGCCTGTACCCAGTTCTGTATGCATAAATAAACAAATCTTAAAAAAAAAGAATTATTTATTTATGCATAGAAGAACTGGAATACAGGCAAGAGGTGCAGGGGGTGAGAGGATTCACCAGAGACAGAGTGGGGAGCAGAACAGGCAGATCCACTGAAATATGCTGTTGAGGGGAGCAGTGGGCGAGTCAGGATTGGTCTGCTGTGCCGTGGGGGTCAGCTCCTTGGCTAGGGATCGGACTCATGCTGCAGTGGCTACAAATAACTTCATAGTGCTTCAACTCTGCACCACCAGGGAGGCCCCACTTATCTTTTAAGACTCATCTCCAATGTGACTTTCTTTCAGAAATCATTCCAACTCTATGTCAAATTAATGGCATCTTTTCCCCCCTCTTCCATACTACCCAATACCTTGTTCAATTACAGAGCTTAGTAGACAGGTGTTACTTTACAGTATCAGCTCCAGAGAAGTAATCCAGTAATCCAGAGAAGGCAAGGAATTTATCTCGGATATCTATATCCCCTCTAACACAGAGTTTCCAAGAAGCAGCAATCTTGACCTTTTGGATAGAAAAAGTCCTTGTTGTGGGCCTGGCTTATGCATTGTAAAGATGTTTGGTATCTACCCACTCTGTGCCTCAACACCAGTGTGGTGATTAAAATCCCTCTGCAGATATTGCTAACGGTCTCTTGTGGGAGAAAATTACCCCAGGTTGAGGACCTAATGGAGAGCAGGTGCTTAATACCTAGTTGTTGAGTGACCAAGTTAGTGACCCCAATGAATGGTTTAAAAATTGAGTGATGGCCCTCCTTGGTGGTGCCAACAGGTTAGAGCACAGCACTGGGAAACAATCTGTAGCCACTGCAGCATGAGTTCAATCCCCAGCCAGGGAGCTGACCCACATAGCACAGCAGGCCTCTCCTGAACCTTCTGCTGCTCACCTCAGCAATATATTTCAGCCAATCTGCCTGTTCTGCTCACCACTCTGTCTCCAGTGAATCATCTCACCCCTCTCAGTTCTGGCTTGCACCCCAGTTCTTGTATGCATAAATAAATAAATCTTTAAAAATAAAAAAAAGTTGAGTGATAAAGAAAGACCCAGCTGTGGTTTACACCTCACCAACTCAAGACTTCCTTTCTGGATCCCAGCAGTCAGGTCTCTGTGAACTGGCTCCCTTTTGCTCCTGGCCAGCCAACGGACACCTCGACTTTCTCGTGTTTTGCTTTCCTTTCCACCCATCCAAAAATCTGTACTTACCACAGGATAAATAACACCTTCTTCCCCAATTCACCCAATCCATAGTGATCTTACATAACATTCTCTAAATGTTTATGAACAGGGTCTACAATAGAAAATGACATGTATTGTAGCTATACCTACATGTGTAAATTCATATATACATATACACCTGCAAATGCATTATTTTTGCCCTTAGAACTATTAACCTGTTTTTCTCCCCACAAATGTGTTTAGGAATTTCCTTCTCAGCCAGAAGAATTGCTCCTAGGTAGGGGGTTTGCTCATGTCTTTGAGTTTTTTTCTTCCCCTTTAGTTTCAACACAAAGCTTTATGAACAACAGATGTTTAGGTTTTGCTTGAAGTGAAGATTTTTCTTTAAGCACTGGAAGGTGTATTAAATCTGTAATTTGTGTGGTCCTGACATAGTTTTGTTTTTAAGAGGTGTTGGGCTAACTCTTTTAAGATGTAGTTTTTAACAGACTGATTTCAAGATCTGAAAACAGAAAGAAAAAGTCTTGGCAATGTTTTGAGGGGTGTGTAAAAAAACAAGACTATAAGTGATGAGGAAGACAAAAATGACGGTCCTTTGTCTTCAGTTCTCATCAAGTCCAAACTTTATCAAGATTTCTTTTCCTACTGGTTGGTAAAACTGTATTAGCAAACTTGGCCTTCCTGGTTTATTCTGAGTCTTTAGCACCCAGCACCTTCTTTGGCAAACATGTTGAATCCCTTATATTTACTTCCCTCCATGTGCTTAGAATTTTATCCAAACTGCTGCTCTGCAGGGCATTTATTTCTCTTTTTTTGGGGTGGAGGAAAGTTCATGCTTTACCAAGAGCAGGCCCCTAGGGGGACCCCAATTCTCAGTATTCCCCCCAGAATTTAGCAGCACTGCTTGCCCGGGAGCTCCACATCTGTGACAGGATAAATACAGAAGACATATTGGAATGGGGGGTGGGGTGGGCGGAGAACACTACTAACTTCAACACTGTTTTCCCTCCCCTTGATAAATTAAAGTTGAAGGAATGTTTTTGTTCTAGTCTTGTAAGTGTATTTTCGGCAAAACAGCCTCTTGAGATTTCAGTCTCTCAAGAGTTCCAGGCTGAGATGCTCCCGTTTATTCCTCTCTTCCATACTTTTGTCTCTCTCTGAGGGCGCTCTCCTCTCCCTGTAAATATGGACTCAAAGTGCTTCTCTTTGCCCCTGCTTCCTCCCATGGTACTGTTATAGGGCACCCCAATTCTGTTAAGAGGACAGGGGGAGAGAGGGACAACCCTGAAGCCCCCAAAACCTGCCTGCTCTAAGTGGGTTCTTGCCATCCACCGCAAGGAGACAAAACATATATAAAGCTTTAATGACAAGGGACTTTAAAACAGTGAATATACAATACGGAACACAAAGAACATAACTTCTAAATCAAACACCTGAAGTTACCCATCCTCTCGTGGGCAAAAGTCAGCCCAAAAGGGATTGGCCCAAAGCAAGGCCTGAAAGCTGCCACAAGACTAAAGCACCTTCTGGCCGGGACCATGGACAAGGGTCATAAATGGCCAGACAAGTCTGGGAGGAAAAGAGCAAAATCAAAATCAATATAAACACTGCCATAGTCACCCCCTACAGGTCTCTCACCCACATCTGCCTCCCTACAGGTCTCTCACCCTTAACCAGTCCAGGGTCAGGAAACAAGCCCGGTTTCTTCATCACATGCTTGCTGCTCCATGTGGCTTCCTCAGGTCTCCTTCTGGCCTCCATCCAGCTTCCTTCTCTTCTTCTCTCTTCTTCTCTCCTTGAGCCCTGCACAAGTCATGTCCTTTCCTTTTATACTTGGAAGAATTCAACTGGAATGTGAAAGTTCAACTCAAAAGGTCTTTGGGAAGTATACTTCCCCTTGGCACTTAAGCAGAATTAATCACTATCTTCCATGACGCCACAGGAGTTTCCTTAGTTTTATTAGGCCATCCTGCAATACAGTGGGTTGCTTGTTAAGTCACAGAGCTTGCGGCTAGTGAGTTGGACAATGTTACCCTATTCATTTGTTGACCTGACATCCACTACCCATTTCATCCTTCTACCCTCCCACCCGTCCGTCCGTCCCTCTGGCTGGCATTGTAACACCCCTCCCGTGCTTCATACTGTATGATTCTGAGTATTATTCAACTTCTCTCTGAAGAGAAAACAATGGCAATGGCATGCTAAGTAAATGGTCCATGCATCCTCTATCATTCACGTCTTGACCAGTTAAATTTCCAGCACCCTGTAACTTGATAGGTGCTCAAAATGAGTTGAATGAGCAAATGAGTTAATTTCTAGAAATTGACGGACTTAGGTAAAAGGAATGGTAGCACACCAATCCCCACCTCTCAATTTTTTAAAAAATTATTTACTGGAAGGAATTGTATTTGCACTTTTGTAGCAGCAGCAATTTTTCTCCGGCTGCTACAGATAATCACCACTTACATACAAATGGGTGTTCTCTACTCCACAAAGCAATTTTTTCTTTTAAAAGATTTATTTATTTATGCATATAAGAACTGGGACACAGGCCAGAGGTGTAGGGGATGAGAGGACTCACAGAGCTAGTCTGGGGAGCAGAACAGGCAGATGTACTGAAATACACTGCTGAGGCTCAGAGCAGTGGGCGGGTCAGGAGGTCTGCTGTACCATGTGGGTCAGCTCCCTAGCTGGGACTTGAACTCATGCTGCAGTGGCTAAGGATCGCTTCATAATGCTGTGCTTTAACCCGTTGGGCCACCAAGGAGGGCCCCTGCAAAATATTTGAGCAACAAAGCAAGCAGACTCTGGCATGCTAGAGCAGCTAGGTCTTAACAGAAATGCGCGAGCTGTCCCGGGGATCTAGTTCTAGAGACAGAGACATGTACTCCTGGGTCACAGGACCTCCCTGTCCTGACCGGGACACACTAGCAGCAGTGTCTGGGCTTAAACTTTCAAAGTGGCTGTTATTATTGTTCCTTCCCTTGCTCCAACACCTCTCAGCCCTTTCCCAACTTTTAACTTCTCTCAAGTATATTGCCCCGTTTTACCTACATGCTCCAATCCGAGAGCCAGGAAATACAGGTGTTGGAATGTGTGCACGTTCTCAAGAACCAATGCTGTATTTCTCAAATTGCCCACATATCGTCCCAACGATGACACTATCAATGCTCCAGTCAATGAAGGAAACAGCCACAGATATTTGCGCTTGCTTTAAAGTCTTTATTGTCCTGAATATAAAAGACAGAAGTCCTCTAGGATATATCAGAGTTCTTTATGTGGAAACATTTTTTACAAGTGAAAAAATAAATACCTCTTGGAATAAAGGCTTATATGCTAATATGTGCCATAAAAAAGTAGAGTTTTAATATTTGACAAAATGTCTGTGCAAAGAAACAAATGCATAAACACATTACTGCTACATTAAGGCAATATGAAAAGTATACTCAGAAATTTCAGTAAAGTGACAGTGTAGGTTTCTAGCTTTCACTGAGCTAGTATTGCACCCAATAAGGTCATCTAGGTTTCCCAACAGCCTAGGAAACCCACAAGCTGACCAGCGTCCAAATGCCCAAGTGGGAGTGGAAAACATGATGAAGAATAGAAAAAACCAAAAACCTGAACCCCCACCCCCCACAAGACGTATGAAGGGGAGAACCGACAGTTAATACTTTAGCATTTACTTAAAAGAAGTGTACATTTTCTATTATACCTATGGTAAGGCTGTGGAAGGCTGGAGCAAAGCAACCCCGCTGGGTGGAGCTAAAGTAGAGGGCTTGGGAGAACTGAAGACCCCAGGGTCTGGAAGCTTCATCTCAGCCAGCAGGGTGCTCCCTTCCCAAGGAACATGCACTCCCTTTTCAATCTGAAAACAAAACTTGCACCAGCTCATGAGGCCCAAAGAGTTCGTGCATACTGCACAGAAACCTTACAAGCAAACTGGTAGCATTTTATAGTGGAAAGGCTTGGAGGTAAGGAGAGGGGGCCGGGACGGGAGCTGGCCGCCACCCACACTGCTTTACAGCTGACCACGTGGTTGTTGACGTTCTAAGAGCACAGAATTGACTGTTACATCTGTCTGCCTTCCAACGGTTCTTGAACAAGTTATAAAAACAGAAATGACATTAAAATGACGACTTCTTTAAGAAAGATTCCCTATCAAAAATGTTCAGAGTTCCATAACCATACAAAAAGAACCGAGTAAATTCTGAAAGTTAATTCTTACAAACGTTGCTGCAGGTAGGAAACTTACCTTGGGGATACATTAAGGAGACTGACACCATCATTTCCTAAAAGGTATCCACTTTTTGGCTCGGTTGCCACTTAACAAACATCAAAGATTTTACTTATCCCTTTACTTGCTCGTCAAAAGAATACAGCGCGAGGAATATTTCCGAGTCCCAGAACTCTTCCCGGTCCCCACCCCTGGGCCCGCAGGGACTAAGCCCAGTGTGTTCTGGCGGTGAGCTACAGCGGTCTTCCTTTGCTTCTTTTCCGCACGTTGCAAGGCCGATGGGAGGGGAGGATTGCTTTTCTCCACTCGTACTGTCTTTCTAGCTCGTCATGGTGCAGTTCGCGGGACAGCGGCAGGCAGGGTCAGATCAGTGTCAGGTTGAGGAGGCTGGTGTGGGTCGGGAGGTAAACGTGCTGCACGTGCTCCACCCGTGACCTGCAGACCGGACACGACTGCGAGAGAGAAGCAAACAGCACCTGTTAGGGCACCTTCCCGGACCCTGTCTGCCGTGCTCACTGGTGCACCTGGTGCTTCCCATTTTTTTTTTTTTTTTTAAGATTTATTTATTTATGCATACAGGACTGGGGTACAGACTGGAGGTGCAGGGGTGGTGAGAGGATACACCAGAGACAGAGTGGGGAGCAGAACAGGCAGGCAGACAAAGCACAATGCTGAGGGGAGCAGCGGGTGGGTCAGGAGAGGTCTGCAGCACCATGTGGGTCACCTCTGGGGCAGGCAGGTGTCGAACTTGCACTGAAGCGGCTGTGGCTGGCTTGCAGTGCTGCGTCCTAACCCGCTGCTCCACCCAGGGAGGCCACTGTCCATTTTCTAAGTAAGAGAGGACATGATTACTTCTTGTTTTCAACCAGTGGAAACCTCTGCTTTCTAGTGTGTTCCAAAGTATATGCTTTACAGGATTATACGTAGCAGCTGAAAAAAAAGTATAAACTGAAGGAAACGAATTAAGACTTTGGTCAAACTCTTAAATGAGGCACAGTGAGTAAAGTGATTAGTGGAGATTTCTTGCTGTGCAGAAAAACTGGTCCTCACAAGGGCAGATTTGGAACCCCGGGCAGTGACTGATGGAAGAGCTGCTTCCGGGCACTTGACCTTGGCTGGGCTATGACGCAAGCCAGTGCCAGCCCAGGGAGTGTGGCGCTGCTCCATCATAGGTCACGGATCCCCAACCGTGGCTCGCCTCCCACAAGCACGCCCCTTCCCTAGCCGCAAGAGGAGCCTCAGAATGCGTGGGTGGAAAAAGGCTAACCCATGGCTGCTCCTGGGGTTCCAAGTCAGCATAGGCGCACCATCCACACTTAGGAAGGACACAAGCATCCTGCTGCTTCACTATGTCGCCATAAAAACAGTTCTGAATCTAGCAGCTTCAGAAGGACTAGAGGTCATTTAAGGCTAGTTTTACATAGAGCTGCAGTGACAGTGCTAAGAAATAAAAAAGAATCAAAAAAAAAATTCAAAGGGGCAATGTAAGGTGTGATTGAGAAAAAAATACTATGTTTGAGGTTTTTAAAATTTTTTATATTATCATTATAATTAGTTCAACTTGCGAATAGCCAATGCAAGGGGCCCCTAGAGGCAGTCCTAAAAATAAACTTATCAAAGCTAATCAGAGTAAAAAAAAATCCAACAGACAACTGAGTCAACTATAACCCAAACTCCAGTATTCATTCCTAAAATAATTTAGGTAAATAATAAACAACCTCCTACATGTCAGAGAGTGAGAAACGCGAACTGTAGACGGTCTGGAGTCAGCCCTCAGGGAGCCTGGATTCTTGCCCTGATTCAGCCACTATACTGCCTTGATTCTCAGTCTAGGTTTCAGAACTTGAAGCCTAGGATTCTGCCTATTTATACTGTTGGAAAGAATTTGCTAATTAAGGCATCAAAACAGAGATAACCAGATGCAGATGAAGAGGAAACCATTCTGTTGGTGGGGAGCTCAATGAGCAGTTAAGATAATAATAGTAGTTCATTCTCATGAATTCTCTATTTTTCCATGTTAAAATTTTCTATCTTAAAATCTATTTTTAATATTTATGTGAAGGTTATTTTTATCAGGTGAATATAAATAGCTGCAGATTTACCATCCAATATTACAGTAGCTTTAAACTAAAACGGAAAAGGTAAATCTTCTCAGTGGGTAAAAATTCAAGCAATATAATCAATTTTCTGATTCGCTATATCCTTTAAGAAAGATGGCAGCTGAGAAATACTTCGATTTTGCTCAGTGACGCGGGGAACAGCAGAATGAACAGAGGGGTGGAGAACTGATCTTAAGTATGAGATCAGTCCTCTCAGAGTGAGAGAGGACTTGTCTCCTTGCCAATTCATATTCAAAGTCTCCACTGTGTAGGAAGCTCCAGGTAAGTGGGCAGAGGATCCACTAAAGGAAGCCACTCATCCCCTCTTCTCTCTGACCACCACCAAACTGGCTACAGGAACAGAGAGCACATGAGCTGTCCGCAGGGACTTCGCGCCACTTCTACGGACAGCCAAAGACCTGAGCTGTGACTACAGAAGGTGCTCGCGTAACCCTGCCGGGCTGGTCAACTACCTATGGCAAAGTGACTACACTTATATTCTGTATTGTATGGTCATGAATGACTGGTACTTGCTGAAGTAGAAACAGAATGCTGCTGTAGTAAGCGCTACAATCTGCACATTGTAGCATATTACGAGAAGTTCATGAAAGTAAACATATGCTAGACTACAATTAATAAGCTATTATTAAGGGCCCTCCCTGGTGGTACAATGGGTTAGGACGCAGCACTGCAGGCTGGCTGCAGCTGCTTCAGTAAGAGTTTGATCCCCCACCCCGGAGGTGACCCACATGGTGCAGCAGACCTCTCCTGACCTGCCCGCTGCTCCCCTCAGCAGTGTACTCCATTGATCTTCCTGTTCTGCTCCCCACTCTGTCGCTGGTGAATCCTCTCACTCCCCGTACCTCTGGCTTGTACTCAGTTCTGTATGCACAAATAATAAATAAATCTTTAAAAAAATAATAAGCTGTTAGAGTGAAACTTTTTGCACCATAGAAACCAACATTCTGAAGTGCACCAGAAAAGAAAGAAAACAGATGTTGGTGTGCAGTGGGCAACACCTCTGAAGACCCTTTCTGATGGAGATGGACTTGCTTTAGTGGCGCTCAGGGGCCAGCTCCCTGGGCCTCCACACAGCGCCAGGGACCGGCAGAGCCCTCACCTGGAGCTGGGCGGCACAGCTCTCGCAGCACACAGTGTGGCCGCAGGGGCAGAAGGCCGAGTTGATCTCCTCCTCACAGCACACCATGCACAGCATGGCTTCCTTCAGCTTGCGCAGCTTCTCTTGGAGGGCCCTGGTCTGCTGGCAGCTGAGACCCTCACAACTGCTGCAGTTCAGCCCGTTCTCGGAGGACTTGAGCGGAGAGTTGGGGGGGCTGTGGTCACTTCTGGAAACCAGGTCGACCACGCCAGCATTGTACAGAGCCCTCCTGGCATGGTCATAGACCTCCTTCGATGTTCTCTTAATGTCAAAGACATACTTCTTGCCAAGGTTGATATTTTCATTGAGAAACAGTGACGCCAGGTGGCCCTTCAAGTCTCGGCTGTACTGCATCATGACGGCGCTGGTCACAGTGTCACACCTGCGGGACAGCAACACCTCCTCAACACAGGCAAGCCGGGGCCGGGCCCAGCTTAGCCCTTCCAACACTGCTGGGATTAAGACACTCACCCCACAGGCAGTTAATAGCTTGCAAGCTTGAAACACATCTAGTTACTACAATTTCCTAGGTGTGAAGTCTTTCAATGATTCTACCTGTCTCTCAACTGTCTCCACAGGCAAAGCAGCTGTAACGCAGGGGACAGTGACTGTCCACCTCCAGGGATATGAGCTACTGCCCAAAGCAGCTGGGCAAGAAAATGGACATTTCTCTTTGAAGTCTTGCCTTTACATTAAACCTTTCTAGGAAGTTTGGATTCTGCTTCACAATTCGCCTGTATACTTTAACGTAGAGAAGTCTAAGGTTGCCTGCCAATTCAAGTGCCCAGCTTTAATTTTCTACAGATTTGGGTCACACCCCACTCCAAAGCACCCTCTGCAATGGGAGCACGAACCCGTTATTAGCAGATCCTTACTGTGGGTGGTGTGGAGATTCGGGATAGTGAGCCCGCTGTGCTGTATCTCCCGCTGGGCACGGGCATGGGCTCTGTAGACGCGACCCAAGCCTCGGGAGTTATCTGGGGGAGAGGAGCTCAGGGAGAGCAAGGTAAGGGATATGCAGTAGGATACGCCCTGGCAGTGCATGGAGAAGCACCTCCTGCAGGCAAGCCAGCCCATGCTGCTGAGGACTGCACAGCCACAGCAGACAGGGTATGCTTGAAAACTGCTGATTCCTGTGTGAGATTCACTGACACGATGCTACCACAAACTGTGGAAGCCTGTGGCCACATGAAAACCTAGCAGAGTGGCCGGGTGCTGAGCTGAGGGGTACAGAGTAGTACATGCCTGTAGAAAGCGTGCGTCTCCGTGATCGCCCGATAGAGCCCGCTGGCGGCCCGGGTGCTGATCATCTTAAACAAGAGCACGATGCTGCTCCCAGACTCCTTGGTGACGGTCAAGTACACGTTCTTTCCTGACTGGGTGGCCATCTGCACCACAGGGTAGGCTATCCTAGGAGACGAGAGGAGAGAAGTAAGAAATCCAGAAGAGGAGGCTTATTCCCACTGTGTCTTTGTAGTCTGCTCGGTGTTCATGGCTGAGCAATGAACCAGGCGCTTGGACTGAGGCGGGCACAGAAGCACGCTGCTCCCTAGCTATGAAGGCACCTGGGAGCCACGTGGGTAAGTGGTTAGGGGGCATGGGAGTGAGTTCCAGGCTGTGTGCAGGTGTGTGTAGGTGAAAATGAGATTCTTATAGCAGTGAACTTGATTAAAAAATATTAACTCTGCCACTTCAAGATGCTTGAGTTCGAATTTCAACAACTAACAATACCTATGAAAGACTGAATCATAGGAAAGTACAAACCAAACTGAACCACTTGTTCTTAAAGTCTGTCCAGTAGATCCCTGCCCATTTTCTATGGTCATGGCTAGAGCTATACAAGCACACACGTGTATGTATTAAAAATAAGTAAGACCTGACTTACCTATTAATTGGGCTAAAGTCATCTTTACAAATTGAGATGCCGTCAGGCCCAACGCCAATGAGGAGCTTCTGCCCTTCGCTGTCTCTCACAGAATGCCATTCTATGCCATAGTTCTCCATTGCAGACACCATCTGCAAAACCTGGTATTCAGCCGAAGCCTGGCTGGTCCCCTCCAGCTCCTTATGCTTTGCAACAATGCTGTAGGACACCAAAGGGTAGAGAAATTAACTTACGCAGTGTTTAGAGATAACTGTGTCATTTCACAAGTGAGTTGTACGGACATCATCATTTGTGAATCACAAAAATTAAATACATTTATGATTGATGTTTCACTTCCAAACACATTCTCTTTCTTTTGTTAATTGGCATTACACTGCATTATGTATGACATGATCTAGGTTTCAGGTGGGCATAACTGAAAATCCGCCTGTGTGCTCCATTAAGTTTACTTTTGCTAAAAGCCCTAACTCTCCTATATTAGATCTTTTTCCCATTTTCCCAACACTTCTTCTCCCTACTCTCCTGGTAACCACCAGTTTATGTTTGTTTTATTTGGTTCAATGGTTTTTCTTTTTTCTGCACATACATCACATATAAGTGAAATCACACTGTCTATTTCTGTCTGGTTTATTTCACCAAGCATTACCTCCCTCTAAGCCCAACCTTATTGCAGATATCAGGATTTAGATTAACCTTTAGATTAACAGCTGAATAGTAGTCCATTGTGTATATTACACCATGTCATCTTTGTCCATGTGTCCAATGATGGGTATTTAGGCTGCCATAGATCATAGCAACTGAAATTATTCTACTTAACTACTTCTTCAAATTGTTTCTGTATTTTTTGGGTAAATACCCAGAAATGGAATAACTGGATCCTACAGAATTTCTATTTTTAATTTTTTGAGGAATCTCCATACAGATTTCCATTTGGCTATACCAATTTACATTCCCACTGACAGAATACAAGAGTTCCCTTCTCTCCTCATCCTCTCCAGCATTTGTTATCTTTTGGGAAATAACCAACTTTTCAAGATCTCAGCTAGTAAAATTAATTTTAACTATTAAATATTCAGTATGAAAAACTGTGGAGGGTAATGGGTGGGGATGAATTAGAAGAATTATGGCAATTTTTTTTTTTTTTTCTTGTTTTTTTTTTCCTGATCCCTTATTTGGTTTCCCTATATCCCCCTCCTATAAATGAAACCACCCAGTATTTTTCTTTTTCCCTCTGGCTTATTTCACTAAGCCTGATTTCTGCCAGCTCCATCCATGTTGCTGTGAATGGCATGACTTTATCATTTTTGATTGCTGAATAGTATTCCACTATGTGTATGTCATAGTGGATCTTGATCCCGTCATCTATTTTTGGGCATTTGGGTTGTTTCCATAGCTTACCTATTGTAAATAGTGCTGCAATAAACGTCAGAAAATTTTCTAAAAGTAATGTAAGAAATTTATATGTAGGAACTTCTTATGTATTGCCTACATATTTGTAAGTTTCATTATAATATAGAATTTTAAGGGAGTCATTTCTCCCCATTGTGTTCTGGCTGATGGCCTCCTATCCAAGCTCATGTATTTCCTGATTTCCTTCCCTCGAGTATCAGTTTATTCTCTCTGATGAAGAGAATATATGGTGAAAGTGCTGGATATCACCTACTTCCGAGAGTAAGTTATAAAGACTTTGACTCCATCTTGGGTGTTCTCTTTTGCTCAGGTAGTTGGCCCTGGGGGAGCCAGGTACCACATTATGAAACTGTCCCTGGGAGAGGTCCACGTGGTAAATAAGGGACGAGACCTTTGACCAAGGCACACAAGTCAACCTGGAGCCTTCAGATGAGACCGAAGTCCTGAGCAGAGTCACGTAGGATCTTCAGCCAGAGAACCTAGTCAAGACAAGTCTAGATTCCTGACCCGCACAATTGTGAAATAACATCTGTTGTTTCAAGTCACTTTTAGGGCAACCTGTTACATAGGAGTAGAGAACTAAGACAGCCTTCTTGGTTTGATCCTTGCTGGTATGAAGAAAAGACTAAAATACTTGGCAGGTTTTTTCTTTTCCAAGATTTGCATTCTGCAAAGGTCAGAGGTTTTTAAAATTCCTGTCATGCAGCTTTTCACAAGGGCATGTACGGGTGTGGAGCCTTTTGTATCTGCAAGTGTTTCAGAGAAAAGGCTAAGATCTTTTGGAAATATTTGGTTCTATCAGCCATGGCTAGGTTGTAGCCTCACAAATTATCTGTATACACCACCAAATCAACTTGCAACTCTTCTAAACAGGATAGATCTGAGCTTCAGCATAAGCCTCCGCGGCAGGCTCACCTATTCAGGGCAGCATTGGAGAGCTCCTTAGCACACAGCTCTTCGTAACTGTACTTGGCGGTGTTCTGATTGTAGTCTCCAAACTTGGCCTGCGCCAGGAGGGCACTGAGTTCCACTGCTTGCTCTGGGGAGCAGGGGAGGTGGCCTGCCAGAAGGGACTCCTTGATGTGCAGGAAAAAGATATGCCTGGAGAGCAACATGAGAATGAGGTTATGCTGGGACTAACTTGGTGTCAAACTCAACCTGCTTAGCAATTTCACAATCCCTCTCCAGCAGGGAAAACAGCAATTACAAAAGCCACTCTGGAAAGAGTTACTGTGAAAAAGCCTTTTGTATTATGAATATTAAGGCAAAATAAGTTTAAGGATTAAATTTCCTTGGAATTAATGAAAAGCGTAACCCAAATGAATCTAATTAAGTTTATTAGCATTCAAGTTACAAAATGTAAACTCTTTATAGCATTATACTTAAAAATAAAGTCTTTTATCTTGAGATACTCAACCTTATTCAAATGCCCCCTTATTCAGTCTTCAACGTCTCTCCTAAGAAGCGTCTTCAAATGCCAGTTGCCCATGGACTACTCTGAATGGGTGTTCTTCAGTGTTCAACTACTGTTCATTCAAAATGAAATTACTGTCTGCTCCAAACCCACTATTTGGTTTCCACTGGTAAAAACAGTGGACTCACTTCTGATTCAATCCTATTTCCATCTACTTTCTGTCACTGAAAAATCTTTAAGTCAATTTCCCGTCTTCCCATTTCTACCTGCTCTGTTATAATATCCTCCAAGGTGACCTCTCTTCTGGATGCTGTGCTAACCCATCATCTAAGCACCTGCTTCTGGTATAAACCTGCCATTTCTCTGCTCAGAATTCTCTAAGGGATTCCCACTATGTGCCGAGGTAGTATGCACCCAGGGGTCTCCATTGCCTAGCCCCAGCTTTCCAATCCCCTTTCCTGTCATTCCTGCCAGCAGAATGGCTCTGAAGAAGAGTTGCTCTTTTTGGAAGCGCCAAGCACACTCATGCCTCTATGTCTGCCCTTACTGCACCCTCTGTCCTGGGGGCCACCACTGATTCGGGCCATCACTGCCATTCCCTTCTGTCTGTATCACAGGCAAACTTCATTCTCTGTTCTAGTAGTTGACATATTCTCATTTCTATTACTTAGCTGCACATGAGCAGAGAACACTGTAAGTGTATGCAAAACTGCATTATCAGTGATTAGTTTATCTCCTACCTCAATCTCATTCTGCTTGAGCCAGTCCTAACTGCATACAATACTATTTTCTACATTACCCAAAAAAGTACGTCTTATTTAGAAGTCCCTGGAAAACTTCAAATGACATTCCAATCTATATTACCCAAGAAGATTCTAAACAGCATCTATACTGCCAGAGGGTGATTGGTTGAGGTGATAGTTTGTCACTGCAAACATACAAGCATGACTTTCTTTGATGACTTATCAGGGCCTCTCAAACTTGCTTAAATACCCTAATAAAAGAATAAGTTAGAGGGCCTCCCACTGAGGGTTGAGTTCTATCCCCAGCCAGGGAGGTGGTGACCCACAGGATGCAGATGACCTCTCCTGTCCCGTCCGCTGCTCCCCTCAGCAATGTATGTCACAGTCCATCTGCCTGTTCTGCTCCCCACCCTGTCTCTGATGAATCCCCTAACCCCCGCGCGCCATAACGCTGGCACACTACCTAAACTCAGTTCTTCTTCTGATCAAGTAGGATACCCTTATTCCAGTCCACACAGTGCTTTCGTTCACATCCTAGTCTTGTGTCTGACATGCCAGCTAAAAGACAGCAAAGGCAAAGTCACAAAAGAACGCAGGAGAGAGTGAGGTCGGAAGTAGGGAGGGTTCTCGTAATGCTCCAAAGGGCCAGCTACCTTCCTTCAACTCAGAAATGTTTAAATTCAATGTTTTGTGCCTTCGACAATGACAAAGAAATTTTAGATGATCAAGCTCTGCCAAATACTGAGGTTTTTTTTCTGTATTCCAAATCCCTACGAAGGAATCACAGTAACAAAGCATAATGGCACTGAAAAAAGATAAGTATGGTTTTTATTAACCCAAACATCTGCTAGTCTTTAAAGTATTTCTGACATACTGCTAAACTGAGAAGGGGGTCCTTACTGGGGCAAAGAAATAACCACAGACAGGACTTGTTTGAAAACAGCTATCTGAGGAATGAGGTCTAGCATTCCCACAGAACCTTGGCACATGGATGGCTTCAGTCCTCAAAAGGCTTTAAGCGCCCATTTGGCAAACTTCACTTTGGCAAACACACCTCTGTCTCTGCATTCATTGGGAGGATGTTAATATGAAATGAAAATATGAATAGATGCTTTCATTAAAGAAATTATGCACTGAAGAAATATTAAGGGTATCACCACAAACTAAGTGTTCTCAATTTAATTTCTACTTACATGAAAGTGCCTTTTTAACTTATTCCCAAGTATGAGGTTAGAAATCAGTTCCTGCTTTATTAAAGAGTACAGAGAGTTTGCAAAAGAAGAGTTTCAGAACTGATCCACATTCTTTTTCCAAGCTGTCCATGCCTACTTCTGGAGAGACAGCTGCCAAAAACCAAGGCAAAGAAGTGGTAACAGCCTGTGAACAGGTGGGCGGAAGCCCCTCATAGTGCTGCCAGCAGTGCATGTGAGTCAGGATTGAAAAAGAAAAGGACATGGACAATTGGTGTTTTCTACATACCTTAAATACTGGGCTAGTCTCAATCAAAACCTGTAAGCAGAACAATCCTCCCTACCATTTACATAAACCTAGGGCCCCTTCTGTATTTTGTAGTTTTGTGGCTATAAAGCTGTCTTTTGATTTCAAGTTCAAGAAATAACGTCATGCATTACGGCCTCTTCACCATGCCTGATGCTGTGCTTAAAGGTAACTACAACTCATGTTTTCTTTCTTTCTTTTTTTTTTAAAAGATTTATTTATTTATTTGTGCATACAGAACTGGGGTACAGGCCAGAGGTGCAGGGACGGTGAGAAGATTCACCAGAGACAGAGTGGGGAGCAGAACAGGCAGATCAAAAAAGGACACTGCTGAGGGGAGCAGCGGGCGGGTCAGGAGAGGTCTGCCGTGCCATGTGGGTCACCTCCGGGGCGGGGATCGAACTCACGCTGAAGTGGCTTTCGATTCTTAGTGCTGCGCTTTAACCCGCTGTGCCACCAGGGAGGGCCTCATGTTTTCTTTTTAGAGGGAACACAGTCTTTTAGCACAAAGGAATATTAACCCATCAAAATGACTCTGGCCACAAACTGGCTTCTGGGGCAAGTTTCTGCTCTCCAGGAATGAGGTCTGACAGCAAAGGTCACCAGCTATAAGGAAAGTCACCAGCCGAATCTTCAGTGTGACTTTTCCAACAGGGAGGATGACAGAGCTTGGAGACTTCCTTCTAAGAAGTCTTAGGATTCCTTCAAACAAGGAATCCAGTGATGGCTCAAAAGTTAGGGGTGGTTGGAATCAAGGTTTTCTCCTATCATTTTCTCTTGAGCTGTGCATGGCTCATGCATTAACTTCTCACCCCCATCACTACTTCTTTTGTAAAGCAGGTAAAAGGTTACCAAAAATTTCAAATTAGATGTGGTCCAAATGGGTCTTCACTGAACTGTTGTGTTTTTTCTTTCTTACAGATCTAAAATAGGTGGTCTATCTAATTCAACTTAGGCTACATGCTAGAATTACATATTTGAAAAAAACTTTTTTTTCATCTTAATGAACAGGTAAACCTATCCTTTCGACACAAGCTCAAGCTGCCTTTTCTAAACATTCTTCTAGTTACCCTTGGAAATTCATGCTTCTTTGTTTTACCCAGTTACTAAAGGAAATGGTTATTTTCAATTTATGAATCACATTTGGTGCCCATAGGGAAACTTCTGGCTAACTCACACCTTTCTATCACTGCTACAAATGAATTCATACTTACTGTAGCATTATAGAAGATTAAAAAAAAAATTGGTATGCCAATTTTTCATTTTAAAATGAGTCATATATTCTTAACATATTTTTCAAAGTACTTCACATTTCCTCTATTTTAAAAATTAATTGCTTGCTATAGCTGTAAGGAATGGAGTTAAATCTTTCCTCTTTTAAGAACATGTAATTGGTGAAGTTTCCTCTAAACACCAACTTGTCTCTTAAAGATATCATCTAATAATCAAAGCAGAACTTTCTGCAAATCCACAGAGAACTCCAGCTCTGTTCACCACAGGCAGTTACTGCGCTTCAGTAATCTTCCCTGCTACCTCATTTGAAGAGCTTTTTGTGACAAAAAATGTAAATAACTATATTCAGATTCACTGTTTAACTTTAGATTCAAGGAATTAACCTCATTTGTTTTTTTTTTTTTTAACTCTCCAGTTTCAATAAATGAACCTTACTTCTCCCCCAAACTCTGACATCTAGCTGTGGTTAGTGTGGTTAGTCCCTTAGCTAGGGAGGCCCGCAGGGTAACCTCCCTTCCCCATGCCTTCCTCAGTCCAGTAAATTATTTAACCACATCAGTTTATTTTAAACCAAAGTGTGACTGCCAAGTTATATTTAGAAACATCAAAATCAAAACAGAATTGCTCTAAGAGTTTCTTTGTTTTGTATCTTAAATTTCAGGGCAACAAAAATCAGTTCAGGATAGATCATGGGTCTAAATGCAAAAGTTAAACCACAACACTTAGGAGGACACAAAGCACTGAGTATCTTCATGACTGGGATGGATAGGCAAAAAGTTCTCAGAGCAGTCAGCAAAAAAACATAAAAGACAAAAGTGTTAGAGTCAGACCTCACCGAAATTAAAAACTGCTCAAGAAGACAGGCCCAGACAGAAGGCTGGTACCTGGGTAACGTATAAAGAATTTGTACAACTCCAACATAAAGGCAACGACTCAATAAAAATGGGTAGCAGTAAAACATGGGGCTTCCCTACGACCCAGCAACCCCACTCCTGGGTATCTACCCAAAAGTCACAAAAACACTGATTCAAAAAGATACCTGCACCCCCATGTTTATTGCTGCTTTATTTACAATTGGAAAAACATGGAAGCAGCCCAAATGCCC